GTAGAGACAGGGTTTCACCATGTTGGCCAGGCTGGTCTCAAACTCCTGACCACAAGTGATCTGCCCACCTTGGCCTTCCAAAGTGTTAGGGTTACGGGTGTGAGCCACTGCGCCCACTTCCTGGGTCATTCTTCTGGATACTACCAGGCATTTTTATGCTGATCTAAGTGTAAACCTGCATTTTTTTTCCCCAAAGTTACTTCTTAGTTCTACCTATGCCATGAGGGTGACTTTTTTGCTTTTTTTTCACTGAAGAAATAAAACATTGCTTAGGGGAGAGTTGGGGGAATTGCACAGGGATCTGCAGTTGGGACCATATTTTCCTGTTTTGTTTTACCTCCAGCCTGGTTCTGTCCACCTCTCTTAGGATTTTGTTTCGCCCTCTGTTGGTCACCATGAGCATTTCATATGGAAATATCTGAGAAGAAAGAAAACACCTCTTCTAGAACACCACAGTCCATTTTATTAACAAGCAGAATCCACCTAAAATGTAGTACTCCCAAGACAGAGCTTCCAAGAGACTACCATAAGAGAATCTGAGTGATGGGTCTTCCTCCCGCAAGGCCAGTGGAAGCTCCAGTTTCCAGGGGACAGGGACAAAATCTTAGACATTCTCAACTTTCCACCAGGGTCTCAGGTAGCACTGAATTTTAGGAGGGCTTCATTGAGTGGCAGAACACTAACTTATGATGTATTGGGATGAAGGTAAACATTAGAAGATAATGGAAATTACAGGCACATGTTTTTTTGTTGTTTTTGTTGTTGTTTTTTGTTTTTGAGACAGGGTCTCGCTCCGGTGCCCAGGCTGGATGCAGTGGTGTAATCACAACTCACTGCTGCCTCAATCTCCTGGGCCTAGGTGATCCTCCTTCCCCAGCCTCCTGAGTAGCTGGGACTATAGGCACATGTCGTCATGCCCAGCAATTTTTTTGTAGTTTTAGTAGAGATGGGATTTTGCCATGTTGCCCAGGCTGGTCTTGAATTCCTCAAATCCACCTGCCTTGGCCTTCCAAAGTGCTGGGATTACAGGCATGAGCCACTGTGCCCAGCCAAGGTGTTACTCGATGCTGTCACAGGGCAGGGCGCCTCTGTGCTGGAGTTAATGATCTTGTTCCATGACTAGCTCATGAATCGATGGGGGCAGGCAGGCCCAGAAGCAATGCTCTGGCAACTGACATACTGAAATAAGCCCTGGTTATGGTCATCTGGGAGTGCAAGCGCTCGCACACCTCTGAAAGAACGGGCTGTTCTGGAGCTCAGGTGGCCAGGCATCCCAGTGTGCCCAGGACTGAGGTTCTTGAAATGCAGGGCTTTCAGTGCTGAAACAGGGAAAGTTCTGGCAAACATGGACACGTTGGTCACCCTACATGGAGTAGTCTGTGCCCGCTCCTGTCAACACTGGATATGCTCTGCAATGCACATGGCAGAAGCCAAGGAAACACCTCAGTCATAGGGAGAGAGGGACTGGTGCCTCACTGTGAACACACAGCACCATGCCCTGTAAGGGTTGAGCCTGCTGACCTGCTGTGGGCAAGGTGCATATTCATGACATGGCTCGCCAGAACACACCAGCCTATAACAGTTTGAGAATGAGGAAGAGACAGAACATGAAATCTGTTTAGGGTGTTACGTCATTCCCATATGAGAGGAAAGAGAACAGCTGCACTTACCTTTGGCTCCAACATGTTGGGCATAGACACTCCTCGGTCCATTCTCATTGCAGGCATGTGGCCATCTGGAAGCGTCTGCAACAGAGATGCCGGTTCGAGGTGGGGCATGAGGTAACCTGGGGGACTGAAGGGAGCACTCTTTGGCTCCCAACTCCCTAGTGGGTCTCCAGTCCTAACCACGATTTCATTTGTGTCATCTAGATGACTATGTAGTTTTCGAAATGAGATTCTTGATGAATAAGAGCAGGAATACAGCTCTTTTGCAATCAAGTTAGGGAGAGATCTTGGCTCAATAGCTATGGACTAATTCCTGAACTAGGCTCCATGAATTAAAGTATATGGTACATTTAAAAGACGGCCAAGTCTATTATTGTTAATTTCTTATCTTTAATCTTGATTTTCTCTGCATTTTTCCTCTTTTCCTATTCTCTATCACATTTTTTGTTTTGTTTTGTTTTGTTTTACAAGATTTAGGCTTTAGTGAGAAAGTCTGCAATGAGAGCAAACTGCTCTCTCCTGTTGGCTAAGACATCAGTGTCTTTTCATTTGAGAACACGCAGGAGAAAGGCGGACTAAAGCACTAAGAGATTATAAGTAAAAGAAGAAAAACTGTATATGAGCAGACCCCTGATGCTGGTCCACTTCCACCCCAGAGAAGACTCTCCAAGGCCAAAGCAAGAGAGTCCCCCTAGACCTGGCTTGGCTCATGTGGTATCCCCAAGGCCTACGGGGACAGCATGACCCAGGCAGCAAGCATGCCTGCTCTTCACAGCTATGGACTAATAATTAGACAGATCAACCACAGCAAGCATCTTCTCAACAGAAACTGCTGCCTTGGGGCCGGCAGTTTGGAATGGAAAATGGCTGTTCTGCTGGTATGGCCAATTCAAGAAAGACAAAGTGTTCCATACCTGGTAATCTGAAAAGGAAAGGAAAAGAAAATATCATAAGGAAAAGGCCATGGCAAAACATGGAACCATTAATAGAGAGACTATATTCTACTGAAATTCCCAACATATTCTCCCTATAAACCATGTTCTCTTTCTGCTCCCAGACTCTGCACGTGTTACCCGTCAGCCTCCCTGAAGCCAGGAAATGCCTGCTCCAGTGTGAGTTAACAGTTAAAACATCCTTTTCCCCTGGAAGCTTTTGCTGACCACCTAAAGGTACTTACTGCTTCCTTCTCTTGGGATCTCTGATCATAACGTTTATCACACAGACCTTCTTTCTTCCTGCCACATGTATTTTGAGGGCAGAGGCCATGTCTCACTTATTGTTGTACCTCTAGTTCCTTTTTTTTTTTTTTTTCGAAGAGACAGCATCTTGCTCTGTCATCCAGGCTGTAGTGCAGTGGCATGATCATAGCTCACTGCAGCCTTAAATTCCTGGGCTTAAGCAATCCTCCTGCCTCAGCCTCCCAAGTAGCTGGGACTATAGGCATGTGCCACCAGCTAATTATTATATATATATTTTGTTGTTGTTGGTAGAGACAGGCCTCGCTTTGTTGCCCAGGCTAGCCTAGAACTTCTGGCCTCAAATAATCTTCTGTCTCAGCCTCCCAAAATGTTGGGATTGCAGGTGTGAGCCACCATGCCTGGTGTCTAGGTATCTGACAGAGTGCTCAGCACCTAGTATGAGTAATGAATGAATTCTCACGAACTCATTTCTTAGTTTGATTTCATTAGTCTTTGACATTATGTGAATTATTGCCCTATTAGCTCACAGAAGACAGGTGTGAGCCTACTCTAAGGATGCAATACAGCGTGAACACAGCCAGTATACTTGGCTCTCATGAACCTCAGCCTCGAGGGAAGATGTGGCCACGCTCGGCCTGGCTATAGGAGTCTCACCTCGAACTCCCCCGCTGACATCCCCGTAGCTGTTATACTGAGCGAAGTCGGTAGAAACAGGCTGAAATGAGGAAAAACAATTATTAGGAAATCTCCATAGTGATTGTTTTTGAGTCAAGTGAAAAGGAAGAAAGGGTTTACAAAATCCTAGGAATTCTTCCCAAGCTAAATTCCGGGACCTTGATCATTTTTTTTCCCTATTATTCTTCTACTGCGACGACCTCTCTTTGTCTTTGGTAGTATACTAACACCACCGCTCAGCAGGCTCTTCGTAAGCGGGGATCTCTTGCCGATAAATAAAAATGCATTTCCCTACATAGTTACATAATTATATTCTAGCTTTTGTAAGGAGGATGGTTATAATACACATTCTTATATCTTTTTACAGCAGAGATAATGGCTCAAATAATTACTTTTTGTTTCATTGTAAAAATATTTGCCATACAGTTTTATAATATAGTTTTCCCTTAAGCACACACAGGCCATTCCTTTATCTAAAGTTAATTTCTCATTCTCTCCATAGAAATATTTTATTTTGCCTGTAACTCAAACTAACTTACCAGATAAACCAGGGAGGTTAAAATTTTCATTATGTTCCAATACTGAAATCAAGAGTCAGACGTATTCAGGCAATATGTCAATACTTCAACCAGGGCCGAGGTGGGAATAAAGCAAGAAACAACTAATCAGGGAGAAATCTTACCCGATGGAGCCCATTTCTTCCATAGCCAGGGAGAGATGCAGTTTTAGATGATGGAATATGTGAAGCTGAGAAAGAAAAAAGTAAAAAACCAATTGTTAGGAAATCAGAAGTTCGGAAGTCCAATTTTTTTTTTTTTTTTAACAGAGTCTCACTCTATAGCCCATGCTGGAGTGCAATAGTGTCATCTTAGCTCACTGCACACTTTACCTCCCGAGTTCAAGTGATTCTCCTGCCTCAGCCTCCCAAAGTGCTGGGATTACAGGCGTGAGCCACCGCGCCCAGCCAGAAGTCCAATTCTTTAATGAAATTGGCAGTCTTTTCTACCTCACAGAATAGAAGATACCAAAAGAATTCAAGTCATAGTGGGCCCAAATGTTCAAAAATTGCCACCATATTTGCAAGGATTGGGTCAACAGTGAGATGATTAAGGAGAGAAGGCCGAGTCCATGCAGTTGAGTGGGTGCTGAAGCTGGCAGGGCTTCCTACAGCTCTGGCATGGCGCTAAGTGCACAGCATGCTTTATTTCTTTGAATCTTCAATCCAACCCTAATAACACTATTATTATTAGTTCCATATTACAGAAGGAGAAATAGGGGCTAAGAAAAATATCTTGCCAAAGGTTAGTAAGATTCTAAACAGCTGACAAGGATGTAAATCAGAGATATCTGAATACATTAGCCCACGCCCCAGTGGATACAGTAGCAGTAACTGAACTGGAGGCCAACCCTGTACGTTACCACGATCTACCAGCCAACTACAGTTGGACTCCTGGGACACCTGATATAGGGTATCTGTCAGTTGCATGGAAGCCTCACAGGCTGCTGGGCTCTTGCGGGAGCAGCCCTGGGCTTGAATTCTGCTTCTGCAACTCCATACCTCTGTATCTCTGGACATGGTGTTGAACTTTTCCGAATTCTTCATTTCTTGATCTATGTAGGTATAATGTTATACATTCTTATAGAGCAGAATCTCAGAATTAGAAGAAACTATCTAAAGATTTGTAAACCACCGAATCCAAGATCAATGCCAGTGAGGCATCTATGAAGGGTAGCAGGAATTCCAGGTAAGGGTGTGGGCTCCGGGGTTATAATATGTGGACTTCTAAATTCTAGTCTTGCTAATTATTGGCAGTGTGACATTGGGTATGTTAACTCAATTTCTATATCCGTCTCCTGATTTATAAAATAGAGATGAAAACGCTGTAGTTGTTAATAACAACCACATCTACTTCATTCGCATGTTGTGAACATTAAATAAAATGTTTAGCAAAAGTGCTTGCATGGAGTGAACATTAAATGCATTTTGTTTTGTTTTGTTTTTGAGAGAGTTTCGTTCTTGTTACCCAGGCTGGAGCACAGTGGCGCGATCTTGGCTCACCGCAACCTCTGCCTCCCAGGTTCAGGCAATTCTCCTGCCTCAGGCCTCCTGAGTAGCTGGGACTAAAGGCATGTTCTGCCATCCCCCGCTAATTTTGTATTTTTAGTAGAGACGGAGTTTCTCCATGTTGGTCTGGCTGGTCTCGAACTCCTGACCTCAAGTGATCCGCCTCCTCGGCCTCCCAAAGTGCTGGGGTTATAGGTGTGAGCCAGAGTGCCCGGTCCTAAATGCATTTTTAAAGGAACTCTTAGAGGAGAAAATTATGCTCTGGCTCAGAATACAGGAGAAGAAATCTTGTGGGTTAACAGAGAATTGTCTTATGACAAATAGAGGCAGGGGAAAATACACTGATAGCCTATTTCAGTCCAGGATGTAAGTCATCTTCTTCAAAAGTATCAAAAACACTGTTCATTCTCAGTTCTTGAAGGTTTTTTTTGGAAGGAATTTTACTCTTGCTGCCCAGACTGGAGTGCAATGGTGCGATCTCAGCTCACCGCAACCTCTGCCTCCCAGGTTTGAGGGATTCTCCTGCCTCAGCCTCCCAAGTAGCTGAGATTACAGGCACCTACCACTATGCCTGGATAATTTCTGTATTTTTAGTAGAGATGGGGTGTCACCATGTTGGCCAGGTTGATCTTGAACTCCTGACCTCAGGTGATCCGCCTGCCTCGGCCTCCCAAAGTGTTGGGATTACAGATGTGAGCCACTGCACCAGTGAAGATATTAATATAAAATCACAAAGCTTAGAAAATGTCTTGTTCATGTTCTCTTAAAAGAAAAAAAAAAGCATCATGTTTTTTAGAGGATTTCCTCTTGCTGCTTCCCTTGGGGATGAGTGTTCTAGAAGACAAACCTAGTACATGGGGATTGGCGTTCATGGATCGTGAGAACCTCCAAGGGCTCCCCCATTTCTAGAAGACACAGAGTGGGTTTCCCAAACTTCCTTTCCCAGGGAATACTCTTTGTAGGTTCTACCACAAGTGAACAGTCAAGGTGGCTTCCTTGCAGGCAGGTGGCTGGCTCTCAAATCAGGGAAGGTTGGGGGATTTGTTGCTCACCTGAGTTGATGGGTGAATCATAGCGACTGGCTAACAGAGATGACCTTTCTCGGCTCTCTTTCTCCATCTCTTCTTTCAATATCAACTGTCCCAGGCCTGAGTTAAGCTATTCACAGAAAAAAGAAAAAAGAAAAAAGAAAAAAAAAAAAAAAGCAAAGCCTGCAATTACCTTCATTGAACTGCAGTTTCTTTTTAGCAGATCCCACAAGAAGTTCTTCAGGCTGGAGGGCCTGAATGCAAGTGTTCCCAGAGGCTGGCGGCTCCTGAAGAGGTAGGTCAAGTTTGGGGCCCTAGACCCCCTTAACCCTTTCAGTTTCAAAGCTCCATTTCCCTACGTCAGGCTCTATGTTAGAAGAATGTTTTCCTTCCTCTGCCCTCCCTAAAGAGCCAGGAGACCTCAGAAGGCATGTGTGAGTGGGTGTGGACTTTTGAGGTGGAAAGGGGAGACTGGGGGTGGTATTCTTTAAAAAGAAGTTGTCTTGATTTATTTAAAAACAAGAAATAAAGGTAATACATGCTCATTTTACAGATTTTGGAAAATCTAGAAGAAAAGAAGAGTAACCCATGATAGGTCACTCATAAATAGCATGCTTATCTTTTGATTTGTATCTATCTAATATTTTTGTATACATACATATAAAACTGAGATCATACTATAAATGCAACTTTGAATCTTTTGACTAATAATCATGTGCATTTCCTATGTGCTTAGTAAACATCATTTCCAAGGATTCAGTAGCCTCCTGATTGGTAGGAGAGTTTATAACTAACTATCCTTCTGGGATGCTGCAGGCCCTTGCTATAGAAAGGAGGAGCCCTTCATGCTGGCAGTTCCTTTCATTCCTTTTCTCCTGGCCCATATCCTGGGAAAAGACTTGGAGCAATGCTCAATCCCACAATCATTCCTTCAGCAGAGCCTAGGTGGACACCACGTTGCTCTACTTGGCTCTCCAGCAGCCTTCCAACACGCGCACTGTACACACCCCCATGCGGTCTCACTTTCCTTCCCACAAAATCCCAAGCCTTCCACTTCCCTCTGACCTCCAGCATCAGTGCCATCTCCTCTACAGCCCAGCACGTATTCTGTCATATTCTAGTTACCATTAATAGACACCTGTCTTGTCTTGCCTACCAGACTACAAGCCCCTTGAAGACCAGACCACTTCTTGCCTATCTAGGTGATTTGTACGTAGCAGTCATTCAAAAAATATAGGCCTTATGTGACTGGAATTGAAGACAACAGCAAGGTAGTTTAAGGACAAACCTTCATTAATTGCTCTTCTTGAAGCTGCCGGCGTCTCAGAAGTTCCTCATCATCTTCCTCTCTGCCACTAGATCTGCGTCTCATGTCAGGTCCTAATTCCACAGCAAAGACAACTTCTCACATCAGCCCCAAGACAAGGGAATCTTAACGGGCTAGTCCAACTGTGTTCAATTTGTTAAGCTGGCAAGGTCAGCAGTGGTCTTTAACACTTTTAAGTAAATAACAAATGAAAAAAAAATGCCCGCCACCAATTCAGCACTACCCACTGGTTTCTCAAGAATAGGGCCCCGTGTGGCAAGCCAGGTCAATGTCTGATGCAAGGAAGGCCTGAATTTTGGCCTCCCAAGGAGCCTGCTCAATTAGAACTGTGTTTGCTGCTGCAATTGCATCTAAGTCCATGTTAGTAAATGGGAAGGGCATCTCCAGTTGTTATTTTGATGTCTTTCATGTCAATTTCTTTTCCTTTCTTTTTTGAGACAAGGTTTCACTCTGTTGCCCAGGCTGGAGTACAGTAATACAATAATGGCTCACTGCAGCCTCCACCTCCAGGCTTAGGCAATCCTCCCACCTCACCCACCTGGATAGCTGGGACCACAGGTGTCTGCCACCACACTCTACTGATTTTTAAATATTTTTTACAGACATATGGTCTCTCTATATTGCCCAGGCTGATCTCCAACTCCAGAGCTCAACTAATCTTCCTGCCTTGACCTCCCCAAATGCTGGGATTACAGGTGTGAGCCACCACACCCAGCCTCAATTTTCAAACAGAAAGAAATGCAAATTTATCTACATACCAAGAGATAAGTAAGATATCATTGTTTTGTGTTCAAATCTTGTAGTTTTCTCTTTTTCTGAATATTTACAATTTTATGGTACTATCACTCTGTCTTCTATGACTAGTAAATTCAATAGAAAGCATACTTTTACTATTTATTTCAAGAAATGGGTCTCTAAAGTTTTCTTTTTCTCATCCTTTGAAAAGTGGTCACAAAAGAGTTTTATACTATTAGATAAATAAAAAGCATTAATACGTCTCCCATGTTACTTTGGAGCAATATAGTAAATTGTATGCAATTTTTTTTTAGCTTTCTGGAAAAGGGGAGACAGAGAAAGAAAAGGAGGAATCTGTCCGAATGGTTGGGAAGTTAAGATAATTATTGTTTTTCCTAAATTGCTTGGATTACTCTGGCTGTGGGAGGAAACAGGAAAGTTTGCTAATCTAATCAAAATAAACTTTAACTAATAGTCTTAGTTTTCAGCATTTTCCTTTTGGAATCCGAAAGAGCTTTAAACTATTAGTGGTAATAAATTCAATGACAAAAACTTAATTCTTCCTCTTTCCAAAATTTAGCTGCTTTAATGTCCCCAGTAAGGAATTTGCTAAACTAACACCCTAGAGGCCTCAAGAACTTCCTGGAGGGCATGGATTGGCACAGAAAAACTGATGACTGGTTCTTAGTCCTTACAATTACAAATGTCAATGTGAAGTTTCTCTCTTTAGTTTACACTAATGGAACTCAACAGACACACGTTTGCAAGGACTAGATAAATTTCATTAACACAATGTATAGAACACTTGCGAATAATAAAGTTAGGAGGTAGATTTTCCTTAAATTCTTTCTATAAATATCAGTTGATTTAAAATCCACATGTACTGCTGTGAAAGATAATCCAAAAATAACTTGATAAAAAAATAACACAATGAAGATGAGAACATTTTGGAAAATTGAAGGCCTTTTAGGCTGTCAGCAAAAATGTAATAAGATCCTATCTTTGTAAAGCTGACTCACTCAATTTTCAGTATTAGCTTCTGGATTTGCTAATACTTCTTTTTAGGCCAAGTGAGTTCACTACTGAGAATATACTAAAGACAGAGACATAATTGGAAAGCATAAAGCAAAGAATGGAACAGCTGAAATATGACATTTTAGCACAGAATTCATGAAGATGGTAGATGTAAAATCACACAACTTCACATAGATAATATTTCAGAACACCTACTTCTCTGCAATAGCTCTTTTTCATGATGGAGAACAAGATCTCGAAAGAAAAATGAAAGTGCTTCAGTGTTAAGATTGGTTGTTAAGAATTATAACTACAACCCAGAAATAGTCTAAAACAAATTTAACTGAAAGAAGTCATGCTTCTACAAACGTTCAGTAAATTCACCCACTAGACTCTAATTATATAGAACGACGTTCTTGCCGTAAGGCTTTGACTCAATTATGCTCAACAGAGTTACTGATTTTGCAGTATTAACTCTGAGAGTCCATGCAAACCATTGGTTTTAGACCAGTTCTGGATTTCAGTGGGTTTGGTTAGAACAAGACTCTGTGGATGTGTTTTTGTAACTTTCAAGCGTTTTGTACGCAAGTTAATACCACATTAGTTCTTTTTACTATGCTACCTCTTGGTCATACTTTTCTTTAAAATCTTCATGATAGGATAGATTTTACTGCATGTTTTTAAGCATGTCATCTTGAGCTGTCCTAGCAGTTTGTCTCTTTGGTTTAGCTGTGACGGTTGCATACCTACGGCGGCAAATGAGGGGGGACCAGGCCAGTGGTCCGTCTCAATCTTTGGTGTCTCGCTGGGGTCTGGTGCCTGGGCTGCTGGGAACTTGGAAAACTTGATGATATCTTCTGAGGACTTGCTCTGGGCTGCCAAGGCAGCTGCATCTAGATGGGAATCAGGGTTGCTTAGCTATTGGTCTGTAAGACAATAGTGCTACAACCTCATTTACATAGTTTTCTTGTTCTCTGGCAAAAGCTTCAGTTCCAGAAAGTTCTGTTTCTTACCATTATCCATTGCTCAGTCACTCAGAGGTACCTATTGACAAGTCAACTCATTTCCTTACTTTAGAACAGAAGCAAAGCTTCATTCTACACATGATCTACATCTGAAAAACCCTATTCTAGAGCTGTGCTGCCCAGCACTGGTTAGATGAGGCTATTTAAACAAACAAACAAAAAAAATTAATAAAATTAAAATTCAGCTCCTTAGTTTCACTAGTCATATTTCAACTCCTCAGTAGTCACATGTGATTAGTGACTACTGTACTGGACAGTGCAGATATAGAACATTTCCATCCTCATAGAAAGTTCCAATGGATAACACTCTCCTAGAGTCATTAGTAATCTAAAATTAAAGAGCTAAGTTGAAAATAGGATGCTGTCACTTAACTGCAGTTGTTAATCATTAGAGGGTTGGCTGGCTTTGCATCTTTGGGCAAGAAGCCACAAATATATTGGTCCAGTTCATTCTTTGTTATTATTATTATTTTAAGACAGAGTCTCACTATGCTGCCCAGACTGGAGTGCAGTGGCATGATCTCGGCTCACAGCAACCTCTGTCTCTTGGGTTTAAGCGATTCTCCTGCCTCAGCCTTCCAAGTAGCTGGGATTACAGGCCTACGTTACCACACCCAGCTAATTTTTGCGTTTTTAGTCATGACAGGCTTTCTCCTAGCCAGACCGGTCTTGAACTCCTGACCTCAGGTGATCCGCCTGCTTTAGCCTCCCAAAGTGCTGAGATTACAGGCTTGGGCCACCACACTTGGTCTGGTCCAGTTCATTCTAATGTTTATATACTTTATATATATGTGTGTCCTTGAGTCCTAGGAGAAAAGGAAATTGGAAAATCCACTTTCAGCTTGAAGGAATTTGGCATTGAAACTTCTGTTTGCCATGCCCACTCATTGTTTTGTTCAAAGGTCTGTGCACACAAGTGAGTTATCCAACTTTAAAACAACAAAGTCGAACTAGCAGCAATATTAGTTTACAAAGTTCTTAATGGTTATGCTTAGAGGAGTCACAGCATAGAGCCCTGAATCTAACCTGCAGCGATGGAGCAAAACAAACCAGGTTAAATGGACAGACCTTGATTTTGGCTAATTTTGCAAACTGGCCTGGGATGTTACTAAACATTTCAAAATGTATTTATAATGCCTTAAATAACTTTTTTCTTCTGGGCTTACATATTTTAAAATCTGGAAATAACCTTTTGAATCTCCAGCTCTAAGTCCTCCATTTTTCGAGTAACCTTCTGGGTTTCAATTTGCTTAAAAACTCAACAAAGGTCACCCGATAAAAAGGGGTGGTCTTTTTCCCTTCCTTGGAGACAGAATCTAGCTAACGTTGTGCAGGCTGGATTCCAACTCCTGTACTCAAGCAGTTTCCTCGTTTCAGCCTCTGAAGGAGCTGAGACTCTGGGTGTGTGCCACTGTGCCCAGTTTAGGAGGTAAAGTCTTGGCCAAGCATGAAACAGTGTTTCTCTGAATCTGTAACATTATGAGAAAAAAAATTTCAGCTTGGAAAACACTACATACAAAATCCCCTTCTTAAAGATGGATAAAACATCTCAGCATATGAGACGTTCTCAGTTCTGCACTGTGAAGAACAAGTATGGCTTTATTTAAAATCTAGCATTTCTCAAATGCATCAGGGCACAGACGTGAGTTTTGGGCATAAGAACTATGTCTTTGGCATGGAATGGCTATTTTGCAAAAACATCCTTTGCAAAGCGCTGCTCTGGCTGGGCTATTTTTAATTAATGACAACAGGCTGAAAGACTTCAGTTAAAGTAAATATTATGAAAAGAAGTCAATTAATCCCTTCCAAACAAATAATATAACATTGTCCAATCTCCCTAAATTTTAGTTATTTGATTGTTTTTCTTCAGAGACGTGGACTTAAAGATAGGATTTTCAAAGTTTCTAAGTTGACAAATCAAACTCTGATAATTTTATTCTTAAATTAACAATAGGATGACTTTGAACAGTACTTACGGATTAGAATTGGTGAAGTCAGTGGTTAAACATTCATATGTTAATGAGTGTGTGGTAAGACAGTAAACCATAAAAAAAAAAAAAAAACAATGTTAACAAACTTAAAAAGCCAGCGTATGGTTTAAAGCCTCAACAAAAAGATGAGAAAAAAAATCATAGCTCTAGAACCACTGCGATACAGACATTGCTCTTTGTCTTCCCAGGATTTTGGCCTAAAATTTGTGCATTTCCAACATTTTTTGATTTTCATGTCATCGTGGTTTTTTTTGTTTGTTTGATTTTCTTTGCAATGGAGTCTTGTTCTGTCACCCAGGTTGGAGTGCAGTGGTGCCATCTCAGCTCACCACAACCTCTGCCTCTGGAGTTCACGCAATTCTCCTGCCTCAGCCTCCCAAGTAGCTGAGATTACAGGCATGCACCACCACGCTCAGCTATTTTTTTTTTTTGTATTTTAAATAGAGACAGGGTTTCACCAAGTTGGTTAGGCTGGTCTTGAATTTCTGACCTCAAATGATCCAGCCACCTCAGCCTCCCACAGTGCTGGGATTAGAGGCTTGAGCCACTGCACCTGGCCTCATGTTATCCTGATTCTTAAGAACTCATGAATGTCAACTGGATTCTAAAGGCAGCCTTCAAATTTCCAGGCACAATTTGTGTAGAATTTCCTGAAATCACCTGAAGACCAGCTTTGGCTCTTTTCACAAAGATTTACGGTAGATATGTCTATAGAGACTTAATGATGGTTAATGAAAATGTGATTTACATAAAGTCATGTGATTTCCTGAGTTAAAAAAAGGAAAACACAATTATACATGCACGTTAGTGATTCTTAGTTTGCAGGGAAGTTCAGAGACAAACTAATCTAACTGTTTTTACAGAAAATGGAAGCACAGAGAAACGACATCGCAGAGCCATTTAGGGAGAAAGTGGGACCAGGGCCTTGACCTCTGTGTTAGCTTGTATCCTGTTCACTCCACTGTGCAGACATCTTCATGCCCAATAGGAAACTGGAGACCTGGAAAGCCACGTTGACGAAGGCTCAGTCAAATTAGCTTTTCTAGGTGGCTGGTTTTCACTAGTTTTTAGTCTCATCAAACTTATTTTAAAGGGTGACCATATTTGATGGCAAAAAAAAAAAGTCTCACTAGGATGTTTGTGAGTTGCTGTGTGACCAGTACTTCCCCTTCTCTAGGGATGGAATGACACATGGTTTGATGGGCTCAGAAACAGGTTAGAAGTTTTCTAACCAAGCTAAGTGCTCTCCATCCAGGAAAATCAATTTCACAATATTTACATCTTAGTAGACCAGAAAGGTATAATTATGCTGGATGCCCCAGGTTCTCAAAAGCAGCAGCAGGAAAAGACTTTCAAAGGACAGCAAGGAGACGTTCAGCTGACTTTGCTATTTAAAAGCTACGCGGAGGAAAGTGGGTTTTACCATGCTGTTTGTAGATGGGTGGTTTTCGGTAAATGTTGATCCCTTGATCTGCGGAAATGAAAAGCAAAGGTGTGTGATTATGGGAATCAGTTCAGCGATGGGAAAAACAGATCAATCAAGGGGCAAATCAAACTGAAGATCTCGAACAAAAATAACTCAGAAGGTTAATTTCTGTATTACAAAGATTGAGTTTATTGAAAGAAAATTATAATAGAAATGAGCGGCTTACTATAGACAAGTGTTATGGAAGCCTTTGTAATACATCTTAAGATATATGAAGATGTGATTAACTCATAAGCCATTTATTTCAAATACACACTTCACTGAAAGAGGGATTAAAACAGGAAGAAATACAAGCAGTGGAGGTACTTTTATGGTGAGAAAGACATAACCAGTTTGGGGAAAACCCCAAATTGCTACTGTCTAGAAATTGAGCCCCCAGTAGATACCAGTGGCTCAATTTACTTTTCAACTAATGAGTGGAACAGTGGAAAGCAATGTAGAAAAATCCAGAGTTTTTTTTAAAAAAAAAAAAAAAACATAGAAACTTTTTATGTGCAAGGCTAGCCTGGTGTGCTGATGGGATGTTCAACAAATCCTAATTTATACGGGCCAAATTTTTAAAAAAAGAATGAATGAATGAAAAAGAAAAGAGATGCTAAATACTCTTTATATATTTATACAAGACCCCACTGGATTATGAAACCATTTTGTTTAGCTATAAATACTCAGGAAATTTCAAAAGGTTTCTGTTTCCCCAAAACCTTGGGCACTGTATCTAGGTGGGGCATTTTTATGTGAAAAATCCCAAATAGAGAATATTAATTTTTAAGATTCAATTAAACTTTTTTAGAAAGGACAGTCCCAACTAAGTGATATAACTCTCAGTGAACTTTCCTCTGTTTAATTAGGTAAGTTTAGAAGCAAAAGAAAAAAATGATTATAGATTCTAAATATGTACACTTACATTAATATAATGGATAATTTATTAAACTACTTTCAGTAGCTAAAAAAAGCAAAAAACAATATACTGCTGGGAGAAATATATTATTACCTCTGATGGTTAATCCTGTCTTTACAAAGTGAGCTGACTCTAAACATTAAGATATTATATTAACGGGCTCTGAGTCTGTCAGTTTCTGATGTCAAATTACTATTTGTATTATGACAGCAAATGCTTGTGACTACTAGAGCAAAGCTTGCAGCACCAAGCCTAAATTGCAAGATATCTTCATGTGCTACGGAGGCGGCTAGTCTGCTATGCACTGCAGAAAGACCAACCAATTCACCCAATTCTACATCTCTCTGAAAAGTCCTTGGAGAAAGTCTCCATGTTAGAGAAAAACAGGAAATATAAAAGTATTCTCTCAAGTGATACTGTGGTTCAATCTTCGGGATGACTAGATTGCCATTAGGATAATTAGTCAATGACAGCAAACCACAGAAAGATATCTTAGAAGGCAATGATAAAAAGGTACAATTAAATTTTTAGTAAAAAACAAAACAAACAACCCAACTGCTTTTACCCATTACCCACACTCTCCAAAAAATATTTGAAAAGACATAAAGCTTCAACGTAATCCTGGCATTTAACACAAAACTTTTGAAAGGCCCCCTAGGTCAGATCCTGCAATTTAGGGTTAACTGTGCATCCCAATTAAAAGAGCATGAGAGATGAGACGAGACGAGGTTACAAGGCTACATTCTACACTGTGACAGGACACCAAGACACAGACTGTGTCAGCTCCTACCTGGAACATGGAAATGTTTAGGGGCCTGAGCGTAAGTTGGAGTTAGAGGGCGGCTGTCTGGCCGGTAAGGGAGAGGGGAGTTCCGGCCGCTGGACGGCTCATTGCCTCCAATGAGAAGAATGGAAAAAACAAAATGAGAGAAGGAAGAGAAACAAAGAAAACAAAGCAAGCATAATAAAAATTCAAAACAACAGACTGGAAGGAGGTTCATCAAAAAGGAGAAACAAAATAAACAAACTCAATTTATCAACTTGGCTCGCAAAGGTGATAATCAGGTTTAGTGTTCCGTCATAGAGATTTGAATTCAGGGGGAGCTGGGTTAGAAGCAGCTAGCGGTCAGGTGTGGCATTCCGATGGCATGCACTGAAAGCTGTGAGCTCGCGGCAAACTGATTAGATGGAGGGGACATTGGGAGGGATGGAAAGCTTATTGCTCATGATTCAGGATCAGTTGTCAGATGGTTAAATCCCAAGCATGTAAGGGGGCAGGCTAGGCAAACCCAAATACAAATCACTCCCAAGCATGACAGCAGCGGCTGGCAATTAGCAGAGGTTTCTCCTATCTGAAGGTTAAGTCTGGGAACCTGTGTGGTCACCAAGTCCTTCCCCTTAGGAATACAAAGTGCCTTCATTTGCAGCATATGTTTCTGTTTTCCTTACTTTGAAATATACAAGCTAGAGTCAGACCCATGTCAAGCAGGTACTTTGCAACCATTTATACCTCTCCCCACCTTTCACTTCAAAGATGAGGCTCCACCCAGGCTGATTCAACCACTGAAACATTTATTGAGCACCTACTATGGCTGGGCACTGAATACTACTGAGGACAAATAGATGAATGAGATATAGTTCCTGCCCTCAAGGGACTTAGAGGCTATCTAAGAAGACAGTCTTAAAACAAATACCATATAATGACATGTAATTGTTTACTCTGAGGTATAAGAAAAATGCTATGAGACTCAGATGAAGGTGCCACGAATTCTTCAAGTTAGGTTTGAGGTAGGCATCAAAGAGTAAGCTCACCAGGTAGGAGGGTAGGTGAATGGGAGGGTGGGAAGCCCATATTCCAGAGGGCTGGAACGTCATGAGAAAGGAGGGTGTGGAACAGTGTGGTCTGGCGGAGCAACAGGACTGGCCACCTTGTCTGGATAGCATGGTGCTCTTGGAGGAGAGAAGAGGGACCAGGCCAGAAAAGAGGGCAAAGGGGTGGCTGAGCCTTCAGTGCCACCATAGCCACCATCACTTCCTTCTGACCAGGAGAATGGCTGGGATGAACTCATTCAGCTTGTGCAAAATTAGAGATTTGCAACTGGCCTAAATCGTCATCTTACCCTATGTCTGGGCAAACATCTTGTTTCAAGAGGACACCAGAAGAGGTAGGACTATTAAAACTCAGTAGTGGTAATTACTTTTACTTTTGAGCTGTAAGAGTTCTTTATATATTCTGGATCAAGTCTCTTATCAGAAATAATATAAATTTGCAAATATTTTCTCCCAGTCTGTAGGTTGTCTTTTCACTTTTTTGGTAGAATTCTTTGAGGCATAAAAGTTTAAAAAATTTGATAAAGTCCAATTTATTTATCTATTAACATTAATAATTTTAAATAAATCGTAGATCATCAGAAAATAGCGCTCTGGCCAGTTGATACAGGTCAAATTTTCCTAAATCTAGCTAGTCAAGTATGAAAGATGTCAATTATTAGAGTTTTAAAATACACTTAAGGGAATTTTAATGTCTCAGCACATACATTTTTTAAGTAACCAGAGTACAGATCTATACTAAATCAGCAGTAAGATATTCCAAATATGAGATGTGTCTATTACTGCATCAAATTTAGATTCCTGGCTTTTGCTTATTGGTGTTCTGAAACTTCTGTCTTTTCTTCTCAAGAGTCAGTTTAGCCCCAAATATGCTATAATGTTGACTTTATTAAGTCATATATTAGTTTCTAAAAAATATGCAATATTATCCCAAACTATTGATCATTGAAAAGCTAATTTATAAAAACATTACCCCTTTCCTAAAGAGAAGTAACTAGCTCATACTGGGAAAAAAAGTGAATATAAAAAACACAGAGGAAGGAAGATTATGACCTGCATGTAGAAGGAAACAGTGTTTAAACCTGTTGCTGAATTAAAATTTGCTCTCATTTATCATCATCGGTGCTCAGTGTATCGTCTGGCCAGGAGTAAGTATTTAACAAATGTCTGTCAATGTATGATTGAAGGAGGTCAATTAATTACCTCCACAGCTATTTATTGGCTTAATTTAGTGAGCATCATGGCAAGATCAACGATCATTTTTCTCTAATCTCTAAATTAAAGGAAGCCAGATGCTAGTTCAGTAATTCCTCACTTAATATCTGTAAGTTCTTGGAAACTGAAACTTTAAGCGAGATAACACATAGCTGGTCCTTAAGGAACGTCATTTTCTTCAACCTAGTTTCATCACAACATTGAGGGAATAAGTAGTTTTGCTATATATCAATTCACTTAAATCACAGTTTCCAAGAACCTATTGATGGTAAGTAAAGACCTACCATACACAGCAGTAGGATCACAACAGCACCCCTTTTATAACTTTCTTGTTACAGCCAATCCTTGACAACCCCAATTTAACTGTTTCACTGAAAAATAAATTATTTAATCCTATGAACATTAGAAATTTTTAACAAGAGTAATCCATAACTGAAAAACAATAATTCTTGTGGTCTTTTCTTTTTCTTTCTTTTTTTTTTTTTTT